GGGTTTAGGGTCTTGGGATTTAGGGTTTAGGGTCTTGGGGTTTAGGGTTTAGGGTCTTGGGGTTTAGGGTTTACGGTTTAGGGTTTAGGGTTGAAGCTTTAGGGTTTAGGGTTCAGGGTTTCGGGTTTAGGGTTTAGGGTTCGGTGGGATCAGGTGCTCTTAGGGCTTTTGGAGGGGACGAAGCCCAGAGCTTCTCAGCTCTGGCATCTTCGGGCTTGAGCAGCTTTTGGAACCCTTCACTCTAAACCCTAAACCCTAAACCACTCCGTAAGGCTTCGGGGTTTTTTGGAGGTTCAGGACTTGGATTGTGGGTTTCGGAGTTGGGGTGTTCGCACTTAAGTTCCTACAGCCTGCGGCTTAGGGCTCTGGATGCAAAGGCCCCAAAGCAAAGCACCCTCCAGAAGATGGGGCGTAGGAGTTTCAGGTTTAGGGGTCAACAGGTCTTACCTGTGCTCCCATGTGAAGCCAAGGTTTAGGATTTTCGGGTTTTGGGGGGTTAAAAGTCTCACCAGGGCTCCCTTTTTGATAGGTCCTAGGAGCTCCGGATTTAGAGGTTCAGGGGCCGCATGCGGCAAACCCCCTGGGGCAACGCCAGACCTTGGCCACGCCGAAGACGTTCGGATCGATCTGGTGCCTTTTCGGCTGAGAGGGGCTTTCGGAAGCACCGTGGGTTCGGGCTGAGGGACGAAACATAAGGGACCTAAGGTTTTTTCGGCTTTGAAAACAGCTTGATTAGGATTTGTTCATGGGGCGTTGGTCAGTATTAAGTATAACAAGAGTTTGGGGGTCTAATAGGACATAACTTTAAGGAGAATGATATAAGGGAATGTTATCTTAGGGATTTTGGTCTGCTCCGATTCACGGGTTTTGGTGGGGAAGAAGTTCAGCGCGAAGGATCGCTTTGAGGCTGCAGGGCCTTCAAGACTAGATGTTGAGGGCCGGCTTAGGGTCTGAAATGAGAGCTTGAGGTTTACAGTTTGGGGCTTCAGGGATCTAATTACGGCTATTCAAAGCTGGCACAACTTCTGTGGAAGAAGAAGCACCCTGCGGGTGGTACTAGCACACCACTTCTGTGGAGTCTAGGGGGTAATTGTCAGATGCTCCATCCTTGATCCGGATGTCTGGAAGAATCGGTGTCACATTCAACGCTAGACGCGAGCTTGCAGTCTTTAAGTTAAAAAGGTTTCAGGTGTAGGCCTTCACCCCAAGACCCCAAGCCCAAAGCCCAAGCCTCAGAGCCCCAAACAACTCGAACCCCAAATCCTCAACACAAAGAAGTCCCCACTCCGAAAAGCCTCAAGCCTCAAATCCAAAACCCCAAGACGTTTGTCAAGGAACTCAACCAGTGTTTTCCGGAACATCGCCAAGTCCATTGGGTCGTCCTCGCAGATGCAAGAACACCACTGATAAAGACACTATATGGCAATAATGGAACATAATAATAAGAATAACAATCATAATCATAAACGTTCCTACTGATAATCAAACTACTAAAAATAGTATTCTGTTCTAAAGCCTGTAGGGCTTCAGGGTGTTCTCCTACAAGTTTAGCTTTAGTCCAACGGCCTTCGTCACTGGAACAAGGATAGATGTTCTTTGTGGACTACAATAATAATAAAGGGATACGGTGACCTACCAATGATACAGACCCCTACAGTAGCTATGTCTGTGGTGCAAATAATACAGGGGCCTTCATAATTAGAATAGGGTGTCGGGGCATTGGCACTTACTTAGGCCCTAAACCCTAAACCCTAAACCCTAAACCCAATTAGCTGTGGGCCTACATGCTCCGCTGATCACTGTGAGAGCTTCACAGACAAGGGAAGCAACCGCAAGCCTTGGAAAGCGACAACGGCTAAATGTTTAAGGGCCAGGGCTGTTTGCATAAACTACTTTCCTTTATCTGTAGTTCTTGGTTTATTCATTTTAATTTTGAACGTTAAGTTGCTGACTTACTTGCTTCCATTTCTTTACACAATTGCTGATGCTTGTTCATGTATTTGTAGTTGCAGGGTCACCCTCCTGAACCTCAAGTTGACACTATTCGCATGACTTCTCCTAGGACTGCTGCTTTCATTCGAAGGACTTTAGGAGGGACCCCTAATAGGAACCCTTAATCCCATTACCTTAAATGACCATTGTATAGTCCTTATACACCCCTATTATACGGCCTTAGATTCATTCCCCCCTCATCATTGCAAAAACCTGCTGCTGTCAGTACCAGTAGTAAGTACAGCGATTCCAGCTACAGCCGGTGCAGAAAAAACAAACCCAAACCCTAAGCCCTAAACGCATACCCCAAACCCTAAACCCCAAACCCTAAAGCCTAAACCCCAAATCCTCAACCGAACTACAAGCTCCGTCCTTGGGAGCGGCGCTCTTGTTGTCAAAGTCCAAGAGCCGGTCCTTCTTGACCTGGGCCGTGACTCATGGATTGGGGTTTAGGGTTTGGGGTTTGGGGTTTAGGATTTAGGATTTAGGGTTTAGGGTTTAGGGTTTAGGGTTAAGGCTTACGAGAGCCATGGCAGTCGTCGCCAGTAGTCATGCCCAGGGCACGACAGTAGTAGTTGAAGCAAGACGAAAAACTCCGAGAGCAAGATGGGAAGAGCACAAACTACCGCGGATTGCAGTGATCTGTTCCCAGTGGCTGGCGCTCCCTAGCACTAGCCCTCTATCAGGAGGAACAATAGCGGCAGCAGCACGGGCGCTACCCTCAATTTAAAGACAATGAAACGTCAAATGGCAATAACATGTTCAGCGACACTGACCAAAAACGGTATCGTCTAGACACAAAACCTTGTACCCCAGAAACCCTAAATCCTACGCCTTGAACCTGGAGGTGGTAAAACGGTACAACCCCACAGCAGTAAACTCCACAGTCGTTCAAAACGCTTGATCGGGCCGCTCAGAAGCTTAGAACCTTAAACCCAAACCCTTAATCCGTAAAACACTCAAACCTCAAATATCTCCTAACCGCACGCCCTCACACCCGAAATTCCTATATCCCCAAACCTTCAACCTCAAAGCCCCTAAACCCCTCAACCCCTAAGCCCCCAAAAGACGACGAAACCTTAAACCCCTAGACCTTAGGTAGTGCCCCCATACAGTAGCAGTCTGCATATCAGGGCTACCATGAAGGGCCTTCTACATCTACGGCCTAAATATTATTCAGCTGTTTCGGAGTGGGGGCAGGATCCAACCTAAGCCCAGAATCCCAACAATACCCCTTAATTAAGGAATAGACCTGCAACCACAATACTAAGGCCCCGATAACTGAGGGTAGATTCCTTGATTGAAGGGTTTGGGGGCTCTCTAGTTACCCCTAGGCACCCCCTAAACCCTGAACCCCAAACCTTAAACCCAACCTATACCCGTAAACCCTAAACCCTGAACCCCAAACCCGAAACCCAACCTATACCCCTAAACCCTGGCCCCGCGCCTGGTCCTCGGACATCCACTCGTAGGATGCCTTGCCGCCTTGCACCTCAGCCACCACAAGCATGTACGATGCCATGCTATGCCAAAATGTACGGTTTAGGGTTTAGGGTTTAGGGTTTAGGTTTTAGGGTTTAGGGTTTAGGGTATTGTACCACAGAATATACCATAATGTACCACAATGTACGATAATCGACCAGAGTGTACCAGCACATACCGGAATTTGCCAGGATAAACAGTGATATACCATCATCTACCATAACATACCATAGTGCGCGATCATATGCGGTAAATTACCATAATATACCATACTATAATACTGCACCGTGCTACACTATACCACACCATAGTATACCGTCACTGTGTTGGCAAGTTTAGGGTCTCTTAGACCATATAGGTTTTTGGGTCTAGGGCCTTTGTGTTCAGGGTTTGTTAGGGCTTCGGGCCTTTAGGGTGCAGGTGCTCTTGACAGAACAATGTGGGCCATGCCCTGCAATGTGATACCACAGAAAGGGCAAGTGGTTCGATCGAGTTGCGAATTGCTGCTTGGACGGCGTGTGCCTTGCCTCCACGCTCTCATTCGTTCTGTGGGGCCTCCTATCTGAGCGCTGAGAACGCACAGAACAAGCGTGAGGCAAATGAGAGCACGATAAAAACAAAAACAACAAGAACAAAAAATCGAAACAGTCCTCGAATCCACAAGCAGCATCCCCACCCCGCGCCCCGTCACTGTCCACTAAGTGCAGCGCGATCTTGTCAGCCACAACGAACTTCTTGTGCTTGTGGTTCTGAAGCTGCTTCCTGCCGGACACCAGGGCGACACAGAAGCCTTGATAAGTAGCATGATGGAAATTTCAGGAACCTTACTGAAATTGAATATCCAGAGATATCACCCCAAGACATAAATCTAAGTTCTAAACATATTCGAACGACCATTCACAACGGATCCCTATCTTCTGAATCCCTGCGTTCCCTTTTCCCTCGGTTTCTCTACAAACTTTAAAACATAAACCGCACAGTCCTAAACATGAACCTAGGAACCCTAAGCCCCAAGACCTGAAATTCCAGAAGGTCAACTCTGCAACTTGAGCCCGCACCCCCCCCCCCACCCCTCCACCTTTTTCGCTACACCCACCAATACAGTGTCTGTTTTTGGAGGGCTCAATCCCGAAACCCTTAACCACAAGTCCCCACCCCCGATACGCTAAACCCGAAATCCTGCACACTAAAACCATCTAAATCCCGAAAACGCTGAGCTGCCCGGCTTCGTCGAGATGCCTTTGCGGCTCTCGGCTTCGCGGTTCATGCGGAGGATCAGCTCCTTTCCGGTGCTCCCGGATGTGTTCAGTAGTGTTTCCGGGCTTAGGGGTTTGGGGCCTCGGGCTTCGGGCTTCGGGCTTTGGGGCATGTTGGGCTTGTGGGTGTAAGACTACCAGGCTTAAGTTTCTATGAAGCCCATATGGGGTTTCAGATTCATCTACGGCCTTTGGGCTTGTAGGTTTATTCGAAACCATTCGAACCCTCTGGCCTCTGTGAGGCCTCTGGAGTTGAGACGGATCTTGCTTCATGACCCCAAACTGGAGCGAGCCGTGGGCGCTGCGGATGCCAGCAGCGAGCGATACCGCGGGCGCCAGCCGCGACGATCGAACCCGAAGAGCTAGTTTCTGCCTGACGAGGGCGACGGCGAGGCGCATCCGGTGAGGATGGCCTGCACTTAGGCACGTGGGCGACAGTGCGCCTGCGGCCGCGACCTCCATTTAAAGACGTCCCCAATCCTACACGATTTGAACCCGCATCCCTCAAAATGGACAAGGATTGGGGCCTGCCAGCCTTTCACCTAGTCCTCCATGTCTTGCGGTCTTGCGGCGACCACATCGACCAGTGTTTTCGACGGTTTTGGTGCTTTTGTGGCCTCCCCTATCTTTGGCGTCTCCGACGCCCAGACACCGGCAAAATCCAGAATGCCCCGGAAAGCTTCTCGAAGAGGTGCATCAGTGCCGGATTCGACGACCTGCCCTGCCCGGCCCTCTCCAGTGTGATATGCCAAGACAAGTCGTCCGACTCAGCCAAAGTCAGCTAGCACCCAAAGGACAAACCAGATCCAGCCAGAACCCAGGCAGAACACGGAAAATACACAAACTGAAAAGAAACCCTAAACCCGATATGGTTGAGATGTGGGTGATCAAGGGTGCAGGGGATCGCTGAAAGCCAGAGGCGCCCCACTGGAGAACTTCGGGCAAAAGAGGGTTTAGCGTTTTTCAGAATGTTTAGGACTCTGCTTGCTTTGCGCACACTTTGTTTCGAAAGGCCCTTCTCCTCCGCCGAAGCCTCCGGATCCCAGGTTTTCGGGTGTAGGGCAAAGGATTGATTCAGATATTTTAGGGTTTAGGGCCGTCCTTCGTAAGCTGCATTAATCGAAACCTCTCGGTTGAAAAACCCTCATGTGCAAGCGACACCCTACAGAATCATGCCAACACGCTGTAAAGTAGGCTTGGGGCACCGGGTCTGGGGTGACTTGACCCTCAACAAGACCCCAAAGCCCTTTGTCTGGCAAGGGGGGGTAGTACTTCGACAACCCCCTCCGGTCTCGAAGAGCATGCCAAAGCCGGTAGTTGCTGCTATGGAAAACTACAGTCCTTGAAGGCATCCCCAGTTACCCTAGTTTCGCCAGCCCCTGCTCCAATGGGTAAGCCCTAAACCCTAAGCCTGGGGCCCTCATCCTAAACCCTGCCTGAATCCCCAAGCCGAACTGGAGCAACCCTGGTGTCCTGACGTCGTTCCTTGATGCCGTCATTGACGCCGGCCTCTCAAGCCCAAAGTCTAGGGCCCTGCGATCTAAAGCCCAGTCTAGGGCTGAAGGTTTACAGCTGAAGGACCCTTTGACGGTTCCAGGGTCTCGTGAGGCTCCGAAACTGAGGAATTGCAAACTCTGGCACCTCTTGTTTAGGATTTCCACCCTCAGGGTAAAAGGGGGTCTTGAGGTTTTCGGCCCACTCGCAGCACCAAGCAGCGTCAAGCTGAGGACGCGCTGGCGTCCCATGTCGGCTTCTGCTTTGAGACAACCGCCGCAGCCGGAGACACCGGGCTTCGTGCTCACTACGTGCTTGGCTAGTTGCAGTGAACTCAGATTCAAGCCTCGGACGCACAGATTAGGGTTGATTAGGGTTGCGGTTTAGGCTTAGGCAGGGGTGCCATAGTACATGGGGAAGCATCAGCTGCTTCGCATCTTAGATCCCTAAACTTTAGGCCCCAAACCCTGTCAAAGCCCTCAGAAACGAGGAGAGTCCAACTCTTCATCCAACACCCGAAAGTCCCAAGACACAAATTGAAGTTCATACGAGGGGTCCGAAATCAGGGATCCAGAATAAGAAAGCATCTTCTTTGCTTCAGGGTCCTATGTTCCTATGTTCGAGTCCTTTCTTTCCTCAAACTCCAGCATAGTCCCGCCCCGCCCCCCCCCCCCTCCCCCCGCCTCCACCATACCATCTGCCTCCTTGTCTCCCTCCCTGGGGCTGTGAAGGCTGAAAGGAGTTGGGGTCTCGCGGGCTCCAAAGTTTTGAAATGCCTGAGCCCAGACGCCCTCGAAACACCCCGAAGCCTGACAGCCGAAAACCCGGAAATGCAGGACCGTCAACCCGTAATCTTTGCACGTTCAGCCTAGAAAGGCCTGTTTTGGGCCTGAAAGTTCGCAAGGGCCGGTGGCCCACTGGAGACTTTCCCATCTGCTTGTTTGGGCTCAGGGAGTTTAGTGCCTTGGGAGGCTTCGGGCTTGGGAAGTCTAGGGTTCAGATTGACGTAGATATCCCGTTGTAAGACCCTTCCTGATACCTTAACGCACCTTCTGGTATAGCAGACCCAGAACCCTACTCAAAATTTCGGGAGAGGCCCTGACCCTCAACCCTAAACCCTAAACCCCCAAACCCTAAAGCCCTGAACCCCTCAACCTGAGAGTGAGGATCCCAAGCCCATGAGCTAAAGGACCATAAGCCGAAGGCTAGGGGGCCCAAGGGATTCAAAGCTCTGTGGCTTAGTTCAAGGGAGCTGAATGTTTAGGGTTTAGGGTTTAATACTACCTATACTAAAAATCACAAGTATAGTCATGGCAATAACAGTTACCATCATCATAGTCCCCATAATACGAAGACCCTCAACGCAGGTGCCACCAGCGATTATAAGACGTGGGCTTCCTCAGTCGTTATTGGAGAGCTTTGCAAGCAAAGGCCCCGGGAAAAAACATTCTGGTTATGCCTGGAGGTTCCTGAAAAGAGCACAGATAACTAGGGCAAGGTTTAGGGTTTTGGGTCCCTGAACCCTAAACACAAAACCCTTCAACCCTAAACCTGGGGTAAGGTTGAGGGCTTCGGGCTTCATGTGTTTAAGGTGCACTGAGGCATATGGCACTCGTTCATGAACATTACGAACTTCGGGGCCATGATTGAGAAACCTTCGGTCTTTGTCAGGATTCTTTGTATAGACATGTATATATTATATACATACACATACACATATATATATATATATATGTATACATGGATCCTAGGACCTTGGTTTCTTAATCAGGTCCCTACATTAAGGTGCTCAGGAATTGAGGCTGAAGGATGAACTCTGCAGGTTTACTCCATGTGGGAACGTGTGGCTCTAGGAAGCTGCAGGGAACCCCCGGCTTATATCAGCCATCCTATGAGGTAAGTTTCCGAAATAAAAATAAAGGGGTACCGTATTTTGGGGTCCTTATAAGGATCCTACTATTTAGGGTACTCTATTAGGTACCTTATTTTGGGGTCCTTATAATCAGGATCCTACTGTTTAGGGGACTCTATGAGGGTCCCGTACTTTCGGGAACCCTGATCTGGCACCGCTGAGCTAGCATGGTCAGTCCTTAAACACCAGGTCCGGTCTCAAGATTTTGGGTTTAGGGAGCATTAGGGGTTAGGGTTTAGGGTTTAGGGTTTAGGGTTTAGGGGGGAGGGGGGCAGAGAGTCCCACTCGGAGCAGCTAGCCGCTAGCCAACGCCAAGAGTGCCCAAACACAGCAGACCAGTCACACCAAGTGATTGAAATTCTGTTTTTAATTAAAAACGTCTGAGTCTGTTTTTAATTAAAAACAGTCTGTTTTTAATTAAAAACAGACCCTGAGAATCCTTAACCCCAAAAACCGAAGACCTCGAAACTCTGAAAGACTAGTGAAGTGAGCTGTGGAATATCTGGGGATGCCACTCTTCGGTCGGCTTGTTGTCCCCTGCCGTGGTCCTGAAATGCAGCGAGTGCTGCATCGCTGGTGTAAGATCTTTCTGGCTGAGAGACCCGGATTTCTAATGCGGGCGAAATCTCTTTCTTGGACACACACACATGAACATACACACATCTACACAAGCAAACCAACACACGCACAGAGAGAGAGAGAGAGAAACCTCGTTTTCTAATTACTCCTGCTTTCGGTCACTGTACGTAAGCACTCACCGGCATGCCAAGGCTGGTTAGCAGAAGTTTTGGCCTTTTGGCAAAGCCCAGAGCTGCCGTGCCGCGGGGTTGACAGTTTTGAGCGTAGGGTTCTTTAGGGTTTAGGGTTTAGGGTAAAGTCGAGGGCTTCAGGTCTGAACTCAGATGCTGCGCACTAGGTGGAGGATGAGACGATCGGCTCGAATCGCCAGACAGCCAAGCCTTAACTCCATGGCGTCGCCAGACTACACAGGGGTCGGGTCGGAGCCTTTCTTCGCGCAGGGATCGAAACTCCCAAGAAGAACTTCGAGGCTTAGGCTTCCAACCTTGAACATCACAACGTCCGAGAAAGAGCCCCTAAACCTTAAGCCCACGAAATATGTTACTGTCATGCAGGGAAGGCCCTGTCAAAGCAAAAGGTCCAACCCGCCATCCCAGCGAACAAACACAGCTACAGACTAGCAAGCCTTGCCAGTGCATTACTCCTTGCATGCATGCATACATGCATGCAGGCATACGTGTATAGATGTATACAGGCAGGCATGTGGGCGGCATGCAGGAATGCATGCTGTGCGGGACATTTACATACAGTTGGGTCTGTGCACGTGTGTGTGTGTGTGTGACACTACACATACACATGCATGTACATATATATATATATATATTGTAGATAGATAGATAGATAGATAGATAGACAGATAGACAGATAGACAGATAGACAGATAGACAGATAGACAGATAGATAGATAGATAGATAGGTAGGTAGGTAGGTAGGTAGGTAGATAGATTCGATGGATAGCTAGATAGGTAGAGATAAATAGATAGATAGACAGATAGACAGATAGACAGAAAGACAGACAAACAAACAGACAAACAGACAAACAGATGGATAGGTAGATGTGTGTATATGTGTGTGCGCCCATCTGAATTGCTCGCTTCAGCGCTGGCGGCTGTTGCTCGGGCTAGGGCTGGCCGAACTTTCCGGCGATCCACGGATGAGCCATCACCTTTTGGGGTATTGGGGACGGGTTTCGGGAGCAGGGTTTTAGGGTCTAGGGCAGGAGGCACGGACCATTGAAGGGATCAGGGCGTTGGGGTCCAGGGATTCTTCGCTGAGTTTAAGAGCTTAGTGCAAATGATGGGGGAGCTTGTGCGCGAGTACCCCAACCTCTGAACTCCAACCCCTGAGCCCTAAGCCATTCAGCTGAAGGCTTGGATTTCAGGCTCCAGCGCTCTGGGCTTGATAACGAATTGGAGTTGCTTGCCGCGACCGCCCGGGATGCTATGAGATGCTGCAAGAGGTCACGCCCCTTTTCGGCCGGCATTGCTTCCGGATGTCGGTGTAAGCCCGCTGCTCATGAAGGCGGATACTGAAGCTCTATGAGGCCGGAGCTCTGCTAGCCCAACTCAGTGACCGGCACTGGTTTCAAGCCAAGACCGTGTTGTGATGTATCACCACCCCACCGGCCTGGTGAAACCAGGCCGGTGGGGTGGTGATACATCATCACACAGTCTTGGCTGCTCTCGGCTTCTGCTATGTCTGCTTCCTGCGTCAGAAACTCGATTCGCAGGGTGCTCGTCTTGTCGTGGCAGTACAGCACCGCCCGAAGCTGGCGTTCTGCTGCTGGAAGAGTCGCGGGAACTGACACAGAGAAACGTAGTCTAGCAAAAGCCACTCCTTTCCCATAAGGGCCTTGGCTAGCTTTGCAACCTGGTATCCGTACGGATCACAGTGTTCCCGCGACTCCCAGCAAGGCGCGACGACCTCTCGCAGGCCGGACTCGAACTGCTGGCAGTCCTGCCCAGCATCGGCACGGGACTCCAGAAGAAGGCTCACCATTAAGAGGTGTGCCGCCTTTGTCTCTCTCAGAGGGGGTCGCGTTTATGTCGGCACGGATGTCAAGCAGCAGGCGTGCCATCTCAACATTGCGTTTCCTGACAGCTGCTCCGAGAGGTGTTTCACGCCTCCCACCGGCACCCACAGTACTCCGACCATCCTTGTCAGCACCAGCTTCCAGCAGCCAACGCACTATCTTTGGGTCGCCACGTTCGACTGCTCCAACAAGAACACCCGAGTCAAACCCGGTGCCCGCATCCAAATACAGAGGAAGCCGACCCTCGTCAGCATTTTTCACAAAATCAGGAGCCATTGCACCTTTTTTAGCTCTAAGCGGGCCGGGAACTCCGCAGTCGAGCAGGAACTGTGCCACTTCCTGCTGCCCGCACGACATCGCCAAGTCGAAGGGCCACAGGTGATCATCAGCAGCCTTGTAGTAAGATATCACGCCACAGGATGAGCATAGCGGGGCACCTGCTCGCAGTAGCACCTGAACAGTTCTGAAATGGCCCTCTGCACACGCGGCACCCAGAGGTGTCGTCACGAAGGTGTCCTGATCGACTTGATAGCCATCGCACGGCAGCTGACAAGACGCTCCAGCCTCCAGCAACAAGCCACGATCTCCGCATGGCCAGACAAACATGCCCAAATCAGTGGCGTTCTGTCCTTGCTGGTGACACTGCTGGTGAGGATGTCATCGGGGTTTCTCGGCAGTTGCAGGAGCTGCTCAACTGCCTCAATGTCACCGGATTGAGTAGCGTCAGCTCCACCTCCTCTGGCTCCTGCAGCTGCTCGGGCCTTGCAAACGGCAATACCACCAGCTGAAACTCAGCCGAATCAAGCATGTCTTCATCTTGCAACACCCGCTCGTTCCCGACTTGGAGTAGCTGCAGCCGAAACCGCAGGAGCCCCTAAAGGGGTGACAGATGCTGTTTCAAGCCTCGGATTGAGGCAGTAGGTGAGGCATTAGGTCTCACGTTTGCTGCTGCAACATGTAGGAGCAATGTACCACCAACAGCACCTGAGGATAAAGCAACAGCCAGGAATCCAAACACCATTGAAAACCCCATAGAAACAGAAGAATGCTCCTGTTAGTAATTACATGTTTTCACCTGACTCGCTTCAGTGACCTAGGCCTCGAAAGACGATACGCTGAATCGTCGAAGGCAAATACTGATATAAGGGGCTGCTATTCACTAACTCTTCCGGCCGTTTCTGCTATAAGGTCTCGGAGGAGGACCATCGCGACTCCACCAGACTATGTTAAAACAGTTGTAGTTGTTATGTCTACTACATTACATGTGCGCAAGGGCGTCCCATGCGGAGCAGCCGCTTGATGAGGTCCGGAATTTGCCCATGCCTCAGCAACAACATCAGCAGCGTCAAGCCTGCATTGTTTCTGTAGTCCTTGCCTTGAATTGATCGTGACAAAGCTCGAGCAAGAGGTCGAGAGAACCGGGCTTCTGCGTTGCCATGGCTTAAGGCCGACATCTGGCTGAAGGAGATGACTCTCCTTCAGCCAAATGTCGGCCTTAAGCAATGGCCAGGCAGCTGCTCCCCCAATTGTACGTCAGCAGCTGCCTGACCGAAGCGGTGTGGCCATGAGCCAGTGCGCGGTGGAGCGCATGTTTCCCGTTGTGGTTGGCACTGTTGGGATTCGCCCAGTTGCCCAATAGTTCGACGACCTTCTGCGCATTACCGTCGTAGGCTGCAGAGACGATCTCCAAGCTGTTGCTGAGCCTTTCTTGAACCGCCTCATCGAGCTCCTCGATGGCGCATCGTAGCTCCGCCACGCCCAAGGACTGCGACAGCATGGAGGCGCACCTCCACGGAGCCTCTCTAGTAGTTCGATCTTTTCGTCGTACTTCGTGTTGCCGAGGCCGAACCTCTCACGTCTTGGGACTTGTCTCCTCCTGCTGCTGCGTTCGCAGGCGCTCGGTACTTCACATCACCCGCTGCGTTGAGAATGCACACATCGTTGTCTGGAAGAAGCTCTGCCATGAAAGGCGTCTTGTAACTTGTAGACAAGCGATGTCTCCAAACAAAACTAGTTTCGCCTGGTCCGACACGACTGCCTTGGGGTCGCATCTAGCTGCTAGTGGCCCTAGGTGAGCAGTTCTGAACCAGCCACAAGGCTCGTAGTGGATCGCTTGTGAACAGTTTGTGACTAGGGCTTTGGCTGTTGTGACATGTCGAGACTCACCATGAAAAGAGGCCAGAAGGTGCACGGAGAAGCAGGAATCACGATCATGATCACCATCACTATGACTGAGACGATGTTGATCGTGCTGTAATGATGAACGGTCATGAGGATCATGAGGATGAGGGTGACTGCAAATTATTTCCTGTAAGACCAGAGCAGAGACTTTCAAGCACAGAGCTTGAAGGTCGGGGGGGAAAGGTAGATGCTCTGACTAGACTCATGAAGAAGGCCCTAAGGGTTCTGCGCATGATACCGGCTTCGACCCATGAACTTCCACTAGGCGCCATGGGGCGCAGAAACTTGAGCCCTAGAACTGTCAGACCTCAAAAGTAGGACGGAGGTTGTTAAAGGTTGCAGAAGCTATGCCCTTGCCTCAGACGAGCTCATGCGAGTCTTCTCGCTCTTGTCCAGCATCTTTCTGATGTATTCCTGCTTGGGCTCTTGATGCAGATGAACCTAGAAGCCAAGTAGCTGACGACACAAATTGACGGAAACCCCACCGCAAGTACAACCCAGCCCCCGAAAAACCCCCGCCACAGCTTCGACTTCAGGGCCATGAAGTCTGGTAAAGCGTCGAAGGCACACACAAGAAGTCTGACCACCTTCCTGCCGATGTAAGAAAATTCACGCAATCTTCCTACCAGCCTAAAACCTAAACATATTATAGGAAAACTTATATTTTTTCTCCTATAATATGTTTAAACCCTTTCTTCCCTCCCCGCCTCGCAGACCGGGTGGACGCGCTTCGGAATTCGAACCTCTTTGTTCCTCGCAAGCGTAAGCGAGGGATCCTTCTGAATTTCTGCGGAACTCCGGAACTCCGGCCCTGAACGGCTACAGCTGCAAGAGAGTCTTCGGAGCTCCAGAGCGGAAACCTTGAAATTCCTAAACCCTACCCCCTCAAACACCAAAACCCGTAATCCAAAAACCCTCTCGCAGAGACTGCAAGGCGAGGAATGATGTGCTTGGGGCCGCTAGGTAGGGTTTAGGGTTTAGGGTTTAGGGTTTAGGATTTAGGGTTTAGGGTTTAGGGTGCAGTCTGGAGCTATCCCTCTCAAGCAAAGCAGCTCTTCAGGCTGAGGGTGTGGGCAGAAGACTTAGAATGTAGGGCTTGGGGTGGAAGGCTCATTTAGGGCGCAAGGCTAAGGGTTTGGGACTCCAACAGATTTCGCCCTCAGGCCCTACTCTCCCTTAGTCCCCGTTGCAACGGCGAGCACTTGCCTGCATCCCGGGCAAAACCTACAAGAAAACCCAACACTACCTACCAGCTACTGTAGGATTTGGCACTGCGCATCCACTCAAACTCCCAATCGGGAGAAACATGCCCACCCGGGCCACCAACGCCGCCGCCGCTGCCACCACCACAATCACAGTAACTATGCCGTGGTGTCAGTGCCATCACGATCATGATGGCAATTCGTTCACTGACTACTTATTTGTGCTCTTCGATGTTCAATAGAAAACCAAAGCTCTTAAGTAGTGTGTGTTTTGGCCTCCAGTCCCACCCTCAACTTGAATTGTCGTTGCTGTCCGTTTCATCTGGTTCTGCATCTTTTGCTTTAGCTATGATTATTTGCCTGGTGTCCTTCTGCCCACTCAACGCTTGCAACCTGAAACTGCTTGCAACCTCTGGCTGTCATGCAGTCTGATTGACTCTTCTCACTGTTGTTCTTGTTTTTGCAGTCGGTCGCTCTTGCTCTTGATGTTGCTATTGCCCTTGCCTCTGCTGCTCCCTGTTGGCTGCAGCTGGCCGTGATGCCCTGCACTGACACTGATGATGTTGCTGCTGCTCTTGCCAGTGCGGCCGCTGACATTGCCCCCGCCCACTGCCACTGTTGCTGTTGCGGTTGCTTGTGGTTGCTTGTGCTGGTGCTGTTTCATGACATGGTCCTCGGTACTGCTTGGTACTGCAGCAGATGTGGTGGTCGTCGTCCTCCTCGCTCCGCGTTGTCGTTCTGACCAGCTCTACGGCGTGCATTGATTCTCATCATGCTCCTCATCCCCATCGTCAACAGTGTCACGCCCCCATGTCGAGAAGCCGGACTAAACCACGATGCATCAATTGCATCCCGAGCCTGACGTCGTTCTCATCTCTGAAAGGGAAACGGCCTTAGACAGCAGAGGCAGCCCCACCTTTTCAAACATGACCTGGCGGAACCCTAGGCCCTAGGCCCTGTGCAATCCTAATCCTCACTGGACGAGGATGCCCCTGGTCAAGAATCTTGACAAAAAGTCCGAAACCTTACACGGCCAATCCTGAAAACCTGGCCGCCAAGCCGTTCGCCAAACCAGAACGCCTGGAATGTGCTGAATGCTTTGGGTGTACTTTCATGCTAAAGTTATGATGAGGAACCTTTAGGGGTCTTGGTATAATACCCTACTAAGCTCTGCACTAACCCTTCCCGGAAGCCGCCCCATGCCGCCGAGCTACCACTCACAAGGCCGTACATGATGACGCCCATCGCCCACACGTCTACCTTGGCAACCGTCTCGGGTATGGATTCGGATGCGAAAGCACATGGCGATCTCTTGGGCACTTGTAGGGTTCGGGGTTCAAAGCTTAGGGCTCGGCTGGGTTCTGTAGGATTTCCGGTCCTCCTTCTTCTTCTACGTTGAACTACAGCCGGCCCAGGCACGGCTCGTTGGGCTTTGAGGGGAGCACTCCAAGGCTTGGCGTAGCGCATCGACTTGAGACATTCCGGGGCTTCAAGGTCTGGGCCTGGGGCATACACGCGTGCAGAACCAAGGCCGGGCCAAGGAGGAGTGCGATGAAGGCCGATTACGTCCGATTCCGGGTTTTAGGGTTTGGGATTTTCGGGTGAAATGACGAACTTCTCTCAAAGCGTTCCAAAACATGAACTGGCAGATCAAAGACCCCAAGCACCCCGAACCAAACCAAAGCCGACAGCCTGAAAACTCCCATTGGTCCAAAAGCCATAAACAACCTTCAAATCCGAAGTCCTGAGAAAAAACTCAAACCTCAAAGCCACACCCCGGACCTCCCCAACACCCCGCGTGCCCCAGGATCCCAAAAAAGCACACCTCCAAGCCCCCCCATTTTCGGGGGTGTAGGGCTTAGGGTTGAGGGTTTCGGATGTAGGGTTTCGGGTTTAGGGCTTAGCCCCTAAACCCTAAACCCTAAACCCTAAACCCTAAAGGGTTCAAGGTTTAGGGTTTAGGGTTTAGGGTCCCTTCGGGCCTTCTGGCCGTACTCGCGGTCGAAGAACTCGGGGGGCCAAAAGATCTTTGTCCCGACCTGAATGTTTGGGGCGTGGGGTTCAGGGTTCAGGGTTTAGGGTTTAGGGTTTAGGGTTTAGGGTTTAGGGTTTAGTGTTTAGGGTTTAGGGTTAGGGTTTGCTGTTTAGGTCTTGGGGTTCAGGGATTTAGCAATTTTGGGTTTGGGGGTCGGGGTTTTCAGGTGTAGGGCTTCAGGGCCCAAGCATGGCTTGTCTTCGTGATCTCTAGGTTGCTTAGGCTGAAAAGGCTTGAGGCTTCGCAGGCTCTGTTGGGGTTAAGTCTGCAAGGTGCGGGTTTAGGGGTTTGGGTTTAGGGTTTAGGGTTTAGGGTTTTGGGTTGTAAGGTTTGGGGCTGACGGCCCGAGAATGGGGGTGGGCAAAGTCGTGAAGCTTCTGTATGCCTCTAGGACACTCCGGCACACGACCCAACTCGACAGGCTCAAGGGATTTGAGTGCTTGGAGTATCTCCGAATGTAGGCCTGGTTCATCATTCATCCCATTCCTGAACTAATGCCGAAAGCTAAGCAGGGTTGATTGCATCACGGATCCATTTATTCTGCTGAGAAGGGGCCCGAAAACCTCGAACCCTGCGAGCCTAAAAATCCGGAATCCCCGGCCCTGGAACTTCGAAAACTCCGCACTCAAAGCCCTGAGCCCTGAGCCCTTCAGCCCTGAAAACCCCAACGCTCCAGACCTTTCTACGGCCACGCCAAACTCCAAGCCACAACCGCACTCTCCAAACTCCAAAGACTGTCTTCAGAGAACGGATAATGTAGGGGCCGTAATAATTAGAAGAGGGTTTAGGGTATGTTATAGTATAACTGTAATAAGGAACCCCCAAATCGATATAAAGGGCCAAAAGTCGTGAAGGTCGCTGTGTTCAGAGCTTAGGGCTCAGGGATTTCATGGCTCCGGCTGCGGCCGGCGAGTAAAGGGTTTAGGGCTTAGAGCTGCCAAAAAATGGGAGATCCCACCATGCCCACATACGCCTCCCACAGTACTTAAAACCCTAAACCCTAAACCCCTAAACCCCTAAACCCCTAAACCCCTAAACCCCAAACCCCTAAACCCTAAACCCTAAACCCTAAACCTTACTTCTAGCTACTGAGGCAGGCCCCTACGCAGAAGAGCTCAGGCTGAGAAGGGCGCCGGGCACAAGGGAGAGGCTCCCCAAACACCCCCCACGTTTGAAGGAGCCCTTAAAGGAGCCCTT